GCCGAGGGCTGCAGTCTCCCCCGACCTAATTACCTCTCTCGCCCTCCATACGCTCACGGCTCATTAAGGACCGTCTGTTGTTTGTTCTTCTAATTAAAGCGGAGCTTTATCGGTCTTGGGGCCCCGTCTAATTGATATCATTGCGAGCGTTTACGATCGTTGAATTACGGCGGCCACGATCGGTTACCGCCGGGTTCGGCAGTTAAACGTGACCGCATATTGTCTTTGTCTGAGCTCCAATTGACTTGTTTAATTCTGGTTTATTGTTTATTTATTTACGATTCCCAGGAACAACTCGCGACTACATCCATGTCGTTTTCGCATACCTTCGCTTAGATTGCATAAGTAGATGTAAACATTTATATAGCCATTCATAAAGAGAATGAAGTAGATACAATTCAACTACATAAAATCGAACGTTACCATTAAAATCACCGTGGAATTAAACGCATTTACCTTTCTAATCACGTCGAGGAACTTCTTAAAAACTATTTTCCGCTTGAATACTTTTTATTATGTGAATTTGCAAGCGTAATGATCACAATTTAAAATTTGATTTGAAAGCTTAATAACCATTGTGAATTCTAATCACATAACTTAATTTCCAATAATGGCCAATCTTTCAGTTTCAATAAAAAGAAATAATAAAAAAGGAATGTTTCTGATTAAGAACACAACATCATGCATAATAAAATAATATTAACTCGATACCGATGAAATGATGTTCGGTCTTCGAAGTGGAAAATAACCAATTTCGTTTAAATCACAATCTAGCAATTCTTTGATACCCGTGAAATTGCCGTAACGAAATAAATGTTAAATAAAACGTAAAATAAAATTATTGTGCCTCCACAAACAAATAATTGGAACGGGAACACAGCTACATATAGCTGAGCGCCCGCGCCCGTTGCCGCTCGTTTTATGGCTTATTTGGGGGAAAGCTTTATTGAACTTAGCCACGTTGTTTGCCCGTCCCGCAAATATAACCCTTAACATGGACCGGGTAGGTTTCAAATCGCGCAACCAACCCCGTTTGCACCACCACCGTGCGGCATGAAATGACTTTTTCGTTTGTACTCGCTCTTTATCCACTTAGAGTCATTCTTTTTTCCACTCGCTACAATTCACTTTCAGATTTTGCTAGCCGTTATTATTTTATTGCATGAATAATATTATTTAGCAGTTATTATGAATAATATTTCAAACAAATATACGAGTGGCATTGTTGCAGTCGTGCTTAACATTCGTTTGTAACAATGTTTCACTTTTAATTCAAATGTCGAACGACACGTTCACCTCCCCGCACATATCCTTCTGGTTTATTTCTAGAGACGACTCCAAATAGGTAGGTACATTGTTTGAATGTGTACATTAATGCACTTTACGAAGCAGAAAATGGCATGAGCCAACATGACGACCGAGCCAAGTAAAGTCATGGCCTTAAAATTGCGTACAGTAGCCAGAAAGCTGAGTGGAGGAATGATGAAGTGAAGTCGATTTGGCATCGCGGCTCGGCAGTGGCGGCGGGCCGGCGCGGCGCCTCGAGCTAACCCGGCGCCCGCGCTGGGCTCAATAAGCGGCTTCCAGCCACCGATGGGGTACGAATTTATGAACCGTCAAATAACTTATCACCAGTTTAATGCAATGAAATAAACGAGCCTTATTTATGAACCGCACCGATCACTCGATCGTGAACTTTGTCTTTTTTTTGTTTATAGGGTCGCGGCCGTCCTAGTTGGCTTTTTATTTATGGATCTAGCAGCGCGTGTGAATAACGTTAATAGTGGGGCCGGCCCCCTTTCGCTACTGTTTATATTTATTTGGGGTTGGTGTAATGAGTCTATCTGGCGCGCTGACTCGCGAACTCTGTGGAGAATTGATTAAAATGTTGTTAGATTCAGTCTTACGGAAAAGGGGGATGAATTGCACCGGATAGATTTTAAGGGTTAATAAATGAGCTTAAGTATATTAGGTATATTTTTTTAGAAAATAAGGCTTAATTTTATTTCTAAAAATTTAAAAGTTATATCCAGGTACAATGCAAACCTATTAAGGAGAGGAGAAAGATAAGAGGAATAAAATCTACATATTGAATTACAAAATGTATAAATAAAACTTACAATATACCAAGCATACTTACATTTCTTAATTTTGTATGTACGATACCATTAACATCATCCTTAACAAAATCTCGCTGCAATCGATTGTACAAGTTATTAATACTACCTATATAAAATGTCATTTTGAGGGATATTATGTAGTCAGTATCATTAATAGCGGGGTAGGCACGTGCCTCTCAAGTCGCTAATGCTAGGGGCGAGACAATCATCAGTCATAGTTAGCGAACCTCCGACCTCGGAGGGAACCTACTGCCCTGTCACAGCCAGGAAAAGGCGCAATTTTTATCTCAACCGCACAAAAGAGTTGCCCGCGCGAATTTGTCACTGGCTTATTCAGCGAGAGAGTCGGAAAAATGTTTACAATGTTTTTAAACACCAAGTGAAGTTGACAAGCCGATGTATTTGATCTACGAGTACCTATATATAGAAAACTAAGCTATAACATCTTTGTTACAATTATGTCATGGCAATAAGTAACTTCAGCTTAAATTAAATTTTTGTACAAAATGCACTGGAAGTCAAAAGTTACCTTCATGTTTTCAATTTTATTTCCGGTTTTACATTAGTTGCCCTTTTACAGTTGTGAGATTTGTATCATATCGACACTGAAAAACAATATTGTCGTATCTCGAAAAATTGAGAAAATGTATTTTTTACATAACAATGCGATCAGAAAAAAATTCCGCATTTTTGGTCTAGGACTCGTGATGCTACGACGATATTTGACTAAATACACAAAAATGAACAACTGTAGGAGATACGATAAGATTGCTTTCCAGCGTCGATATCGTAGCGGTTATTGTATTTTTATGTAACTGCCTTTTTGATAAGTAAGCTACAAAATAAGTATACGTCTTATGTGACTTGATGACGTCTTTGCTATAATTACTTTAATATTCAATCACAAGTCGAAAAATTTTTAAGCAATGAAACGAACAAAGGAGCTACCTAGTTACAAAAATAAAACTACCGTCTAGAACAGTAATTAACCTATTATCTTACAAACTTTGCATGCTCAATAAGGTATGTTGATGGGTTTATTTTCGTTTTGTCTGACGTTAGAGTCGATATATTGACTAAATATATCTTGTGGTAGTAGCATGTTTTATATTACCGTAGATTATAAGTAAATAAAGGGCGTACCACCATAAATGCACCGAAGTACCTGCAAACTTTATCACTTTGCAAATCTTTTAGTTTCTACTTTTTTTAACCAGGAAAGAATGTATTGTTACGAAATGGAACTTAATACATGCGTTGTCTTATCACGAATAAAGTATAAGCAGACATTTGTAAACATACCACTAAAGATGATTAAATGAAACCCAGACGAGTAGCTAGCGCAAAGAAAAATTGCCGCAACAATAGACGCTGTCACTTTTCCCGTAAAAGCAGGGGGACAAATAAGCTTGCTCTTTTTATTCAGTTATCACACTTTCCAACCAGTGCTCCATATGTATCATAATGCTTTTCATTTTATTATCAGAGGAGTCGGCGCAAAACGCGCTGGGGAACGAGACAAGGGTTGTCAGTTATCGTTCACACTTTTAATTTAGTTGCTCCTAATGTATGCGAATATCTGAGTGAAAGAGGGTTCGCTGTTCTCTAGGCGCATGCGGCCCTCCCGCACTCACTAGCTTACAGTTAAACAACTATAACGCATCGAGGGTGCGTAGGCCTTAATAGTTTTCCCCTCTGTATCCATACATTATGCAAATAGGCTAGTGATATGTCAGCCCGTACACTTGGGACTTTTATTGTTGTTCGTGAGTTTATTCCCTTTTATTAAGTTAACTTTAATTAAATTCTAGTCGGCGTATTTGTTAGGCCGATTGACTGAAAGGAATTATGCGTTGAGATTTACTATATGCTTACACGAGATTAGTTGTGAAGTGACAATAGCTTACGAATTACGTTCAACGGGTCATATCGTTATACGTTTAGGAACTAACAGCATTGAAATAAAAATGTTTATAGAATAATAATGATAACTATTTGGATTTAATATTAATTTCTATTTTTAAGTATCAAATGTAGATTCGTTCATGATAATATGTTTCGTATTAAGTTATTAATGCATTCGCGCGAGTGTCGTGTTTTTGCCGATTGATGTGCCGTGGCAGATATTTTTCTCATACATGAATGCAAACGTTTATAAACATTTCTTCTACAGGCTTTTTAATGAACGTAACAAATAATGATACTGACGTCAATAAACGTTTACGTCCATAAACCGCCTGCCGACCTTGCTTGAGTGATATGTGTGTGTAGAGCTTACTTATCCTGTGAAATTACAATACTGCGTGTCGCTAGAGATTCAATATTTTGATATTTTGTAGAGCTCATTGCTCTACAAAATATCAAAATATTGAATCTCTAAAACTATTAAAATATTGTGAGACCAAATAACGTTCTCTTACATTCTTCGACGAATTAAAAGAAATTAAACGACGTAATAGTACCTACGTGGTTCTACATCACTTATAAATGCTTAGGGCGGCATTGTACATAGCGCGCGCGTATGTGTAAATTACGTATTTAATATGATATACAAATTATGTCATTGAACTAGTGTAGTATAAAAAGGATTAAAAATCAAACAAATAAAATACAAAATCAATAAGCAGTCCCAAATGTATTGGACTTCAGAAGTTTACAGTCAACTGTTCTATTAACGATAACAAATTAAAAAAAAAATTTCGGACCACATCGTGCCATTACAATAATGTTTTGTGTTTATTTATAGAGCTAGAAATAAACTGTATCTATATAATGCTACAATGTTCGACATGGATTATTTAGAACTTGGATTATTTAGGCTTAATTTAATGGTGGTGGTTTATTCGGTTAGTGTGTATATTAGGCGGTGCGATGTTTCAGAGTAACCCTTACGCGCTGAAGGAGGGGGGCGGCGAGATGTCTGCTTGGACGTCGGCAGGACTGCAGCCCTCCGGCGGGTACTACCCCTACGACCCGACACTCGCGGCCTACGGGTAAGTCCCTAGGGCCCCAGGCCCCGCTGGTCCATCGCCCGCGCCACTTTAGATAAAGCCCACGCCGCGACGCTCAAGGATTATCATAATACCTCCCTATCGAGACTTATCTCTCTAATAGATTGCAATGCGAAAGGCTCATGTTTGTATTTGGCGACTCGTTTAGATTTTAATCAATTTTGTTACTATGTGCAAATGTCTCTATTATTATTGTGTGTATGTCGATTCCTACTATAAAAATCGAGCCACAAATTTCTCTATAGATATTTTTAGAGAAATGCAACGATCGAGGAGTGCTTGAAATGATTTTTGGAAGTTTAATATGCTGTCGTTAATTGCCTCCCTATATTATTAAATAAAATTCGCCCCTTAAAGCCAATTCAGTTCCGAAGAAAGCAGTAAAATCTGCTTTTGATTAAATTGTGCTTACCCATTTAGGCATCACTGACATTATTTACATAAAAATATTACGTGTACGTTTTTTGACATCACTTCGGCGTCATACTCTAACGTTTAGTAGCAGTAGAGCTCCTTGTCAAAAAGTTTGTCCACGGAAGTACTTATCTATTTCTGCCGCCAAATATAATGGAGAAATTACTGCGTTCCGGATTTGAAGTGCTAATGAAATTACAAGTTTTAATAATAGCAGGAGAACAAGAGAAATAAGTAGCAGGCAGCGGCGGAGAGAAAACTCTTATTTTTAGCGACAATTTTATAATCTTGAAATTTACATAATAATAAAATAAAGTTTGTAGTACGAAAATTATCTGTAAAAGTATTCCAAAGAAGATCTATCGCTAACAACAGGGACTTGTGAATTTATTATAAAAGTCAATTTAAAATAATGTTAGGTGACGGGCACAGTGGCAGCGCCTCTCAGACATTTGCGATTTAAAGCTCTGAGTGGCACTGGAACTGCTGAGGACGGACGTGTAGTTTACAACAAGGCGCACGACTTGTTCGTCCCGTCACATGTTATCATAAAAAAACTCACACTAATTTGCGGGGTGGTAGTCGACAAATCTTTGCACCTACGTGTTACTTGGCACCTACCTTAATCAACTTAACGTGTTCCATTAGTGCTGAAATCAGATCATGTGGCCTGAAGTTAATGCGTCTAATCTAATCATAAAGTACACGAACATGACACCGCCACAAGTGTTACAATTATATAACAGAAATATGGCCTTATGGTAAGTTTCTCGGGTGAATCATTTGTTGATTATGCATTGAGTGTGTTGTTCGTGGCAAACTGGGAATTGAATATGAATATGCAGGAGCTACAACTTGCCTGTGTCAAAGGCGTCGAACGTTTGCAGTCGCCGCCGAGTCCAAGCCCTCGTTTGGCAGAGCTTGCGAGCCGCAAGGGACAAATGACCGCGTAACCACTCCCGGTTGTTACCCGTCTCATTTTAACACATATCTAACCAAGAGACTGACAGAGACAAATGGCGTCACATCCATTTCTCTCTAGTGCCTGATTAAATCACAGTTTTTCTTTGAAAAGCGATCGGACGCATGTATAGACGGTATTGGGCAAGCTTTGCAGCCCACAGACACGGCAACACACGCTTTTGTTGTATGCACCAATAAACATTTTCAATTATGATAATATAGGGCTAGAAGCAACTGTCATAATAGTGTCTTGACGAAACATTCAATGGACAACATCAATTAAATAGAAGTTTCACGGAACACTTGAAATTTAGCCGCTCATGAATCACTTCGAAACTGCCTGAAAATAAAAACAAATCATGATACATCAAAGAGAAGTTATGCTGACAATTCGGCTCCGCTCGGCTTAATATATATCAGGCGGTGCGTTATAATCTAAAAATAATTAGAGGCGACATTAGTTTTTATGCGTAAAAAAGACGTAACGATACGGGACGCGCACGGAAATACATCATGATATATCGCGCCCCAGACGCTTCACACAATTGTTCACCGTTGTGTTCTAGTAAAGGATGATCGCTCTCAAATTTTTCTGCAAACTGTAAAATTATAATACCATTGCTATAAAATGCTTTTCAAAGCACATGAAAAAGTGCAATAGGGCCTTCCTAGTTTCAGCGACTTCATAAAAGTACTAAACCACAAATCAACGTCCAATATTCATTATCTTGCAAACGAAATACCTTTTACAACTGCCAACAAAATTGTTGTATATTCATTTCAAAGGAAAAACTTTATAAGAGTCTCATAAAACGTTCCGGGGGTCGCAATAAGTTAGACGGCCTGAATAAACAGCCGTACAAAGAAACAAGTACGGCGAAAAGTGTACGAGAGCAACAAAAGTTGGTCACGACTGTAGGCGTCCTTCAGTTAAGTACTGTTGGCTTATTATTTGGAACAGCCTGTAATCTGCCACGCCCGCCGCGCGCCGAAATGAAAAATTACTCAGCTATTTTTAACACAAGATTCGAGCACAGAAAACGTACAAAAATTAGAGAAAAGAGACGAGGGAGCACTTGTACCGCACCATTGAGATCAAAATACGCAGGAAATTACTGTGCCCCGAGCGAACTCCGCTCTAAGGAATTATTTGTGTGCCAACGATTTGGGCTGTTACTTTTAAATAAACCAAGTAAGGAGCGCTTGTTAACGAGACGTAGTGTCGTTCGAATAAACGACACTTGCATTTTTGTGCCACTTAAAGTGGTTGTGAAAAGTCCATAAATGTTTATCATTTTGATACACTAGATTCTGTGGTATTTACGTAGTAATAGCTCTACAGCTGATAATTAATTGCAGCGTTTGCTATAAACTTATAATAAAAATTTTCGCAATTGTTAGTAATAAAACAAATACATTGTTACAAGGTGTCAAAATATCTAGTTTTTTTTAATAGATACTTTAGATTAATTAATTCTGAACATAACATGATAGATACATGAAGCACTGTCCATTGGCGTGTGATGTAATAAATCTATCAATGTGTAATAATTAATTGTACAGTGTACGTCAAGGCATTAACGCGATACGGGGAACTATTCCGTAATCTGTGTAATTGATGTACCTACCACAGCTGAATGATTAGCTGTCTGACATATGTCGAACATCGATCACTGAGGCTTCGATTACAAACTCTTATATTTGCAATTTGAAGATAAAAAGGTGACGAAGAGCGGCCTAAAGTGGTGAAACAACAAAATAAACGCAACAATCCCGCTTCTAAAACGCGTACTCAACTGGCACTTCTGCTACGAATCCTAATTCTAATACGACCCAAGCCTCCCTCGGGGGAGGAGAGGCGCATTACTTATGTACGCGTATTCGTAGGTACATAACTGTAAGGTTTACGGGGGAGGGCACGTAGAGGCCGCAATTCCCCCAAGCGGGCAGATCGTAAACCTCCGATACCACGAATTGAATACGTGGCGCGCAAATATGTAGCTCTGCTTGTACCGCCCGCCCAACCACATTCAGTGCGCTCCACACAACGTTCACCGCGTGCCACTGTGCTACTTCTCTCTGCCTCATGCCGATTCAATCAACACACTCAGTGGTGTTGTAAGTTTCTAAATATTTTGATTTCAATTAGCAAAATGAAAATATTATTTCCGTTATTTTTAAGGATATTAGTGAAGAAATCATTAATTTTAGAACTGATTGTTAAAATAACTATCGTACATTTACGACGAAATAGAAAACAAAATAACATAACCAAAATACACCTAGTAAATTAATTCGGCCATGTATTAGAAAACAAAAATAGCACCAATTTCAAAGCTCGGTCATCGGTGTTATGTCTTTGTATCTCCAAATTAAGCAAGGATACGAGTATTTCCGCCACTGAAAGTATTAACATTTTAAACCAAGTGCACGTGTTCACGCATGCCGGCGGCTACGAAGCGACGACTAAGTGGACTGTCTAAATTAATTTGAAAGCTTACAACGAACCCTTACAGCAGCTTTAGAGCTTTCAGCAAGGCAAATGCTGTTAATTCAATAAACATTCAGCGATTACAGCGCTGCAACACTTTTCGCGGCTTTCGCCCCTCCGCTGTCGTCACTAACCACCACAGATTTCTAAAGAGCTCAATCGTGTTCTAACAAAAGTAGCTTGTTAGACAGACTTTTGGTCGCTGCATCTGTGGCACAATATCGAACATTTTTTTTCTTTTAATTTAGTTTTAAATCGTTTTAATACTATTTTTGTGGCAGTCTACGTCACAACAACACGCTTGTTGTTTGCTTTTTATAAAAATGAAAAATTGCGGTATAAGAAAAGTTTGAATGGCAAACTTTAAGGCGACCGTTTTTCGAAGGTTTCGTGGGCCGACAGTCGTGCGGTGATTACTGAATCGCCGGTGGTGGTCGACCGCTAAGTGCCACGGTGGCTCCGCGCAAGATGGCGTCGCGATCGATTGGCGCCGCGTACGCCCACGATGCCCACGCCTGCGCTGCACCGCCCTGCAGTTGCAACTCAAATACTATGGACCATCCTCAAGATGGTTGGTTTACCAACGGTCATCCCTTAAAGAATCTATACAAAGGCGGTCCAAAAAAGACGTTATTACTCAATCATTCTCGCGTTGTCGTATGTCTGTAATGTAGAAATATACCTAATATAAAATTAGAAACGTCTGACACATTAGCAAGATCACAATTATTTCTAACAAAAAAAAAACTTTTTTATACTGGTCAATCAAAACTTCAGTTTTAAAATGTGCGCCTACTAAATTTTGTCATTTTGGCATAGGTACCATATCATATATAAATACCAATTTACAGTGTCGATTTGTGGATTCCATTATTCTCAAACGAAAATTATCTGTCGATAATAGAGACAGATCACTCATTAGATCAAACGTTTAAACTTAACATGAAAATCGCTTAAACAAAGTAACTATTAAACAAACTAAACCAACTAAACTACAAAACGGTGCTAACAAATGCCATCACTTCTGCAAATCAAATTCGATCATGTCACGTAGGTATACACATAGAACGGTGAAAATCCAACTTGGGTTTTATCTCGACATTGCGCTCTACATGTTACTCTTAGCGTTACAATTCGACTGCACCCTCCTCAATTCAGGGCCATTTTTTAACTATTTTCACCCACGGAACCTATTTATTGGCCCCTTCAGACCGCGCCTTTGTCATGTCGACGGGAAAATCGGAGTCAGGTACGAAACGAATGCCGCCGCGGGAAACGGAACGTTTCACCACAATTACGTTTAGAATGTGGATGCAAATGGGACTATAGGCCCTAAAAAGTATATCGAATGACGCTCAGTGCCGCGACAGCTTTATTTTTGCTGCCGCCGTTACGAGAAATCTATTGCCTCGAATAAAACGCCTATCTGTACCGAATTTAAAAGAGAATTTATTGTTTACTGCATTCTATTGTCACTTGAATCAGTCATTGTCTGAAACTCTATCAGAGTTGACTAAGATTACTATTGTTTGGTATTATAGACGAGTTAGTCCCATTACTTTCGGCACTTCTTGTATTTATCTACTTACTGTCTTATATACAATATGCAGGCATAAATACATTTAGAGAAATAATGTGGCTCGATTTTTATTTCCCAGTAGGCTGTGGCGAATATCTTAAGGCCGGAAGCGCTTCACTATTTACCAATTAGGTATATGGATAAATGTGTGTTTGTCAACAGATATGGAGCTGGGTACGATTTAGCTGCCAGACGGAAAAATGCCACGCGGGAATCTACCGCAACGCTGAAGGCATGGCTCAACGAGCATAAGAAGAATCCTTACCCAACGAAAGGGGAAAAGATAATGCTTGCAATCATCACCAAGATGACGCTGACACAAGTGTCGACGTGGTTCGCAAACGCTCGCCGACGCCTCAAGAAGGAAAATAAGATGACCTGGGAGCCCAAGAATAAGACAGACGATGACGACGACACGATGCTCTCAGACGAGGATAAAGACAAAGACGAGCAAGAAGAAAAAATTAAGACTCATAAAGGTTCGTTGAGTTTAGTCCCCGATGCAACATCCGATAATCAACTTTTTCAACTAATAATGGAAATAAAGTTTGTGTATTCAATTGTTTTCGAACGAGAGAATTTCGATGTAAAAAAAACAATGGGTTGAGTGCCGGATGTTGATCTATTTTTAATGTTTTTAAATTGTGATCGTAATGTCCATTTCAGTTATTCTGCCATGCGAATTGATCATTTTTATATTGTCTGTTGAATTGCTACTGCGAATGACAATGAATTATTACTGTTACACTAATTTCTTTAGTGTGAGTAGTGCTGTCATTTTATTTTTGAATTGCGTCGGACTTGTTAAACGTTTAAAATTGCTTTAATTTTGTCGGTGTATAAATCGTTGGGTGAATTGGCGTAACGCCGCTGAAGGCCGGAGGGTGTGCAGGACCCGAATTGGAGGTAGGGGATGGGGGCGCCGGACGGAGGGGGGGAGGTCTCAGGCGTGTAACTGTGCGTAACCGCTCCTCGCTCCCGGATTTCCTATTCGTAGTAAAGTGGGCGGCGCCCGAGCCCAAATTCATATAACGCTTCTTCCGTTCGTCGTCGGTACAACGGGGCGACGCTCGGAGGTCGCGTTCAGCTTGTCTGACGATCTGCCCTACTTCATGTTCTTGCCAAAGGATTTGTCGAGTTCGTGGATCGTTTCTTTTATGAGGATATTCTGTTGGAACGTAAGTAAGTACGGTTGGTTTCGGGGGATTTATAATATGTTCCAATTGATCGTGTAAGATTTCTACTACGAACTTTCTCGTGGTAAATATGTATTTTTATATTCACTCTTCTGAAATATTGACTTAGGTTTTACTACTGATTAACATTGATTATAAATTCTTAAATGTTAATAATTACGGAATTTGAACTTGCAAATAACATCCAAGCAATTACATTGTTCCAGATCTTAATATTGTGCTGCTCTTAGGTGGAGAATAGACATTATTTTTCAGTTGTCAAGAGCATAAATTATAACTACCCAAGCATTGTTGCCATAAAGATGAGTGTTTTCATTGCAAACCTCGCGACGCTAATGGACGTGTGGCGCAGGGCGCAGGGCTCCAAATGCAGCGGAGGGCCAGGGCGGAGGGCGTCACGGGTAACGTGCGGCATACGTCGACTAATGAAGCTCGCTATTGTTAGGACAGAGTGTACTTAATTCGCGGTCTGAATGCCGTTGCGCTTGCCGAGAACAGCGCCACTCGACGACATAAAACGCCGATAATAAACGAATTGTTGAGATGGGTACGGGGAGAACTACAGCTAGCCGCTGTAAGGCAAGGATCTTTAACAACTGGAACGGCCTTGAGCTATAAAAGTTTTCGGGAAAGTCATTGTAATGGTTTATATATAACCTAACCAGACACGAAAGTGACTAAATCGTATGGACAATGCAATGTATCGAAAAAAAACTATAAGTAGAACAATTACAATTGGGCTTTTAATCGGCTTTCTAATGAATTCATTATTAAACGGATATTGTCAAATTTCACAAAGCCATTGAGCAAACTTATCCATTGGAGGAATTTGCTCGCATATCGACTTAAGTTATTAAAAAATATTATTTTTAAAAACGATACAGGGTTTCCCTAGTGCGGGGCTATAAGTATGTGCAAAAAAAGAGGAGAGAAAAATCCTCAATGTTGACATATGACACAATTGTAATAAAAACCAATCTATTCCAAAGCAAGCCTAAGCTCAAACCGTATTGTTCATAGACTAGCCTATGACAAGGCATATTAACGGTAATTCTTAATTATACTACAGTTACTGCCGTAAGCTTTAGAGATAACATACATTTTAAGACATTAAATGCATTTAAATTAAAGTGTTAAGGAAAAATAAGTTCAAAACGCTTCCAGCGAGCGTTATAAGTGAATCTGAGCCACATCCCTCTGTTTGGGAAATACAGTCTTGGTTCCCGCGCACTGTGCAGAATGCGAGGATTATGTCACGCCCCGCGGCGATATTCGCTCCACGCGACACGCTGCTTGGTTGCCTGCCGCTGCACTCTGGCAAATCCACCCACATGATGAGTGAAACAATATATTGGGCGATTCATGTACTTTAAGTATTTGCCTCCAGTACTAATAATGATTAATTTAAATCCTTTTTCACAATTTTGACGCGTATAAGAGGGCAGATATCTTAACAGGTGAAAGCTTATTTAAAAGGTATAACCACATCATAATAATGGTTAAAGTTACAGTACCTATTGGTATCTATAAAACAGAAAACTGAAAATCATAAAAGTAGAAATTTTTATGTGGCTTATCCAAATCCCACGGGTGACTGCAATCCTGGACAAATAAACCGTAACATTTCTCACTCGACATGCATAACCATTCTTTTACAAAAATGTCAATGTTCGCGACGTGTAATATATCATTTTAAGTCACGGCAAACAAAGCCGATATAAAAGCTTTCACACGCGATCCCTAGACGGTCGTCGGCAAACAAACATCCAGAACTATCCCGCACTAAGCCACTCATGAATAAAAGCTTCATTTCGGACCCCACCAATAAATGTTAATTTTGTCGTAAGCGCACGCATCGCAAACAAAATATTAATCCGATGCGCGTTAATGGAAAACGAGCACAGAAGTAATACAAACAAGTGAACAACGCGGCGAGTGGCAACGGCAATGGAGGAGTAATAAATTGCAGTGACCTCCGTTCGTCAGCAGTAAAGTGCAGGCCTCTGCTAGAGCGCGACACACGACACGTGTCACGCGGCGGGGATGGTGTGCCTAGACGCATTATATATTGTGTCTCACTTTGCCCTCAACCCCAGCCTCGTTGACTGAGGAAATCCACCCGACAGCTCGAAAGTACGAAATGAAGTGCGCAGAGTGTTACAATTTCCACGCTCTTACATTTAACCACAGAGCAGCAATTGGTGACGACGTAATGTACTAAGTTCGTTCTTACATAAATGCAATTTGCATTCGTACATCGGCACACTAAATTTGTATCTGCATCTTGCCAATTATAAACAAAAAATGTTATCAATGTTAACAATCTTACTTAAAAAATACTATGTAAATGCTAAAAAAAAATTTTCATGACTCGTCTTTCAACTTAGTCCTGAATCTCTATTAAAACAACATTCAAAGTATTTACCTAAATTTTTTTTTTAATTATTGATATAATTATATGTAAACGAAACACTTATTGTACCTAATTTTCGCTTATCTTCCCATCGTCGTTGCGGGGTTTTATTAGATTAATACAATGAAAATTAAAACAATTTCCCGGATAAATATCTTCGTGCGAAGTATCAGTGGCATCCCTATTTATCCCTAGTGAAGGGCAACGCGGATAACCCCTCTTAAAAGCTAGGAGCAGTCAGCATTAAATGGAATAAAGAGAATGAAGTCGAGCGGTCGCGCCTCCCTCCGCAGCGCCCCGCCGTTCACAGGCCTCCGAATTTCATTAGTCGCCCAACCCGCCCTGCGCCCACTGAAAGCCACTTTACAACGGAAAATGGCATTATGATAATACTTAGAGCCTTATAAAATTTTGCTGAATAAACATTTCTGTGTAATTGTACAATAACGCCAAATTTTTTTGAGCGAATAAGATGTTGAGATTAATTTCATGGCAACTCTTAAAGTAAAACTGGCCCTTTTTTATGTTGCGATTAGGTCGATGAAAATTTTAATGATACTTTAAAACGTTATGATGTACCTATTTAACTTGCTGCTCTGTAAGAAACGTCTTAATAAATAATAAAATCGTACGAAATGGAAAGACGAGAAGCGAGGTTGACCATTAATTGTGGCGCAACAAACATTCCACGGAGGAGTACGGAGCCACAGGGCGCGCCGCTGGGAAATGCGAAATAAATGCTAGGCTTATAGAAAGGGATCGCCAGGCAGCAACGCCCGCGGCAGGGGAGTCGCGCCCCAAAGTGGTATTTTCACTTCGCTAATCGGATAACCACTTAACGAATGGGTCACTGCACTCCAAACGTATTTTCACACGACTTTTCCGAAGGGAGACCATGATTCCGCATCGTACGAGTTGAAACTTACGTTTTTGCTGTAGCGGTCACGGCGATCATATCATCTATATAGATTTTTAGGGGTAGTTTAATCTTGTTTTATTGTTGTACTGAAACTACTGCACAGTGCGGGATCGATCATTACAAATAATCTGTTTACACTCAGCTGATACTAACAGGATATAAATATAATCTGAATAATTTATCTTTACAGATGAGGAGCGAAAAGGCGACGAATTACTTCAGGGCATGCACCACCAATTGCTGGGTTATGGAATAAAGGAAGAATCCAAACGCGGAACATCCGAATGTGGTGTGCCAATCCCAGCGTCCAAGCCAAAAATATGGTCGCTAGCCGATACCGCAGCATGTAAGACTCCACCGCCCGCAGCTCAAACTTGGCCTCAGCATTCATACGGACCCGGACCAGACAGACCGGTTGCGGTGGATGGCAGCTCAAATGGCTTTGCATTGCCAGCTACGGCAGCAGCGAGTCCCGCCAGTGGTTCCTACGGTCGCTATGGAGGGTTCCCGGGTGGGCAATACAGTGGGCAACATCCATGTGTACATCCTGCAGCGTTCCCTGATGTACAAACCGATACGCCTCCACAAACGCCTCCTAATATGAAAGTGCCGAGCGTAGCTAATCCGCTTGGCAGTGGAGGAGGTTCCGGCTATTGTTTTCCCCGACATCAGCAGTCACCGCAGCGTGACCCTTACCACAACCCCCACCACGCCGCCAACAGTCATCAACCAAACCAGCCACACCATAACGAAGGATCTGCTGCCTTCAAACCCTTCTATAAAAGGTAAATATTTTGTATAATATATACATATAATTAGATGCGTTGTTTTTATGTTTAGGTCTGTAACCAATAAGTACGATTAATTATTAGACGCGCACATAACATATTAGTAAAAACATAAATCATAAAATCTAAGCTAGTACATGAAATTAGTCGAAAAAGGGTTTGACTACACCACGTGAAAGAGTGAATGTTTACTATTCCAGCCCGCTACAACACCCCAACGGTTTCGTGTCGGCCGTCTGAAAGCGGACCGCGCACCACGAGCGGTGAGTTATTGATTGATTCAAATTAAGAAGCAAACACTCGCAAAACGCATACGCGTAAATGAGAAAATCGCTCGTAAATGGAGAACCGTGGTAGTGATGTAAAGAAACCCATAAACAGAGTTGTGGTATAGCAGTAGAGACTCACACCGGGGTGTCATGTCGGTAATTGAAAACAATGGAGTTGCGTCGAGGCGGAAGGGAGACGACAGCGGCTTGGCGACGAGGGCGAGATTGCAATCTTGCGTCATTTGTCAGTGTCACTGCGACGCGCCGCGCATTGAACGCCTACATGCTCGTGTGCTGCTGACCTGCCCAAATTAGCTTTTTCTACTGTCTGAAGCGCATTGATTAGGATGTAATTTAATGTTAGACTTATTAGTAGACAGTGGACAGTCATTACATCTATAGTTTCTTACTGTATTTCCATCGAACGACATGTTATACGTTAGTATTTTGTGTACATACTCTTCGACGACGTTTATTTTATAGTCCTTATTTTACGACACTATGAAACTCGACAGATCTTGCGATCTGAGAGCTGGCAATATATACATATATTGTATATATTATTAGTTGAGTTTTGTTTTGACTTGTTTCTGTATCTTCGATATGATAGTCTGCCAATCGAACGCTGCCGTTTCGTTTGAGAGCGAAGGGAATATACACACTTAATAGTTTTTGAGTATCCTGATCAGATCAGACTTTACCGAAACCAAAAATTACTCGATATGGCTGATCTGGAATGGCTTTAACAAATCGATTATAATGGATTTTCGGAACTATAAAAGTCGGACGAGTGTTCTTCTGTGGTAATAAAAGAAACTCAATTGCTCTCGGTTGCCAGACAATCATATCGAACTCTCGCATTTCTGAGAGACGCTAAACGTTTTCTAAGAAGAGCCCGTGGCATTCGCGTCTCATTACAATAAATCGCGGCGTCGACGTTGCCGCACAGGACGGGTTCGCAAAGAATTTTGTTTTATCCAAAAGCTCACAAATTCACTTCTATAACCTTTTGTATTATTTTGGTTTTCACGCCTTTTTGTGCCACGAATTCCGCGACGTGAAAATAACTCCTTATCGCGGCATTCCTTTCAAGTAGCCCCAAAAAGAACAGCTTGAAATCGACAGTTTTTGTCTCCGGATTCAATAGCGTGCTTGCATATCTAAACTTATTATTTTATTAATGTGTACGTTACTAAATTAAACAAAGACTGACTTCATTTTGGTAATTAATAAATTATGATAATACAAATAAAATTATTAAAACGATTATTATTCATTAGACGTAGTAAGGTAACATTAACCTAATTCTTTATAACACAATATCTAAGTGTAAGAAAACGGCCCAAGTTGGATAGCAAAACGTACGCAGTCGGACCGCCCTCCAGCGATAACTTGAACAAGCGTGGGCGCGATCCTCAATGGGTCCTCTTCATTCACAACACTACCTTCACATAAAAGTTGCTTTAATTTTTTTCGTTGCCCTAATCTTTTCTCTTATCTGTTGATCCTCGCTCGGGTCCTTCTCTGTTTCATTCAGTCGCAGGTCGCTTGGACAACCTGTTTGACTTCTTTTTTTCATTGTCGCCGTACAAACCTTAGATGACCGCGGCCGAGGTCGAATTTTTATTTCTTTCACATTTCGGTTTTCCGGTCCGAACGATTCGTTAATAAATTCTCAGATAATGAGACTGAACGTTTCGTCACCTCATCTCGATTGGTTTGGACTTTTTCTTTTTTGGTCGAAATGTGTGAACGCTGCGGCGGGCTCGCGTCGAAAACACTGCGATAGAATCGAAACAGCTATCAGGATGAAGCTTCTTTTTTCTTAATTTAAATACCACTATTATTATTTTCAAAATAAGTCTCTTGTTTTGTTTTAGTAAATAAGCACCTATTTAATATTAAAGTACGTTTTGATGAAGTATTTATATTTGTTAGCAATTAAAATGTGATTAAATATGTGTTTGATCTTGTTTCAGGTAAAGTACGTGAAACCTGGGTCGCTGATATGCCCTTTGATTACTAGGAACTTTCAAATTTGTACAGTGGCACAGTGTTTCTGTTCTCCAGTTTACTATTATATACATAAAAATATGTACTTACAACGCAAACAAATCTTAGGGAATAGGACTTTGGCTGATTATACGATAACTCGTCCTTAGAGTCTTTGTAAAGTTATTATTTGGTTCTAACGGTACATTTATTTGTGCGTTGTAAAATGACTACCTGAATTCCTAAATTAGTGCACAGATTATTGTAATGTATACAGAAATTTCTTTATAATAAGTACTTAAATTTTGTTCGGTTTGGCGTTTGTCCTACGTACTTAGCACTTAAAAAATCAACGTAATATGAAATCAACATTGCTCAGTATTTTTTATAGAATAAGAATATTATGAGAATAATATCCAAAATTATTTATGAATAGATACAAAATGCGCAATTATTTGTAAAAATAAATCAACCATGATTGGTTTAGCAAATTTTTATAAAGATGTGTTGGAATCTTGAACTTGGAGGTTATCAAATAAGGAAAAATGTCTAAATTTAAATTATGTTCTTCCATGGTATTTTATATTTAAGGTTTTGTCACTGCAATGAGTTTGCAATACGTTCAGGTGCCAGATTGTGTTGCTTTGAAAAGCATAGCGAGCAAGTAGAGACGCAAGCAAAATTTTGCACTCTTACGTATACACTATTGTTAAATACCTAATTTTTTGTTAAACAAATAAAGGAGTAATCGATAAGCCATTAAATAGAAAACGTCGATTCGGTTATTGTTGTTGACATTGTATATAAAATGTTTTGTAGATTTTTTTTAATTTTAGTTTGTCAAGAAGTGTACAAAGTATTTTGTATGGTTTTGCCACATTCGTTGTTGTTGACGGACACTTCAACTTGAACTTTATAAATATTGTTTAAATGTATTATTAGAATACATGTACATAAATATATTCTGAATAATATTTTATTAAAATGAAAATGTTCAGTCACTTTCGAACGTGGAGTTCCGTACATACTAAATAATACCTATACAATTTTATTTGTTTGATGTTTTGAATCTTAGTCATGTGGGTAATATTAAGGACAATTTAAAATGAAGATAATGCAAGCAGGTTATTACGGACCGATGAGTAACCATAATAAAAATTCTTTTAAAATTAAGATAAATCAGTGGCAAATTTCGCTATGAGAAAAACAACGTAGTTAATTGTAAATTTGACATCAACGAAACGCCAGAAATAAAAAGATGTAATTAACTGATGATACAAAATCCTTATGCAGATTCACGACTGACTTCAGTAAACTGAGTGTAAACAGAATGGAGCTGTGAATATCTAAGTAAAAAATTTCAAATTTCGTTGAAATTTTTTAAAGAATGATGGTAGGTATGTCGATGGTTAGATTTTATAAGTTTTAAGTATTTATTTATACACTAAGCAGTCTTCATAGTAATAACACTACTTACTTAATTTCCCACGGTAAGAAACAGGTTTTTTTAGATAATTATAGCTGATGTAAAAGAATAGGTCACAGTTTGAAATGATTTAATACCGTAATTTGGAGGCTTGTATTAAGTAAGAGGAAGAAACGAATCGCAGAGTAATAAACAAAAATAATGTGACCAAATCGAATACATTCGCTTAATATTAAATGTTCTATATAGATATTTATAGAATATTATACCTATTAATTATTATTATGAGTATAATTATGTAACAATTGTAATTAAATCTTTATTTCAACGGAGTTAGTTTTATTTGCACCTAAAAGATAAATATTTTCAACCTTTTTATATAAACATTTTTGAGAAATATGTAAACAAAATTGTTGAAAAGTCGTTAATGACTGGGTAAAAATCGTTCGTTACCCCGAAGGGTCTCTCCCTCTTCCCAACTCTTAAACAATACTTAAAAGCTAATAAAAGAACCGCTTTTTTCTTTTTCGAGTGGGATAGAGTAGGGGCTTACCCTTTTCCCTCTCTGGCGATTTAAATTAATTATGGTGAAGCTTTGTTAATAAACCTTAATGAAAAACTGTAATTCAGAAGCGTACGGCTGCTTTACGAAGGTCTATGTTCAGCTGCGTACGTCTTTTGAATGACGACGAAGTCGAGCAGGTACAAGAAGTAAAAAATAATGAAATGTATCTTGGTAGCACCATAATTCCATATTCCAAAATTAAGTTACTTTAACCATATATGTATGTGTATGGAGTTGTCGTCATTTTTATTAGTACAAATATGTCCCACTACCAGTCACGCGTCTCCCATAAGATGTTGCACGTAGACCACAGTAGTCTCCATGGCATAACGTGGGCTGGGGTCGTCACAAGTTTTCAAATAGTTTTGTGAATGTACATTCGTAAGTCTTAATGGAGCAAGGTTCTTATGGAAATAGAACCTAGAACCTCCTACATGGGTAGTAAGCGTCCTTCCAACTAGGTCAATATTTAGAGGTGAATATAAAAACAATAATTTAATTAAATAACGACGTAACGATTTAGTCGAATATTTTATCCCAGACGTCGCATACGTATGATGTTAAATTCTTGTCCAGTGGGGGACACCACGTAATTGATGACGACGACAGACGATTATGACTGTCATACTAGTTAGTTTATTAATTTATCTTTATTTTTGAATGTTATTCACTTCAAGCAACACATTTCATTCAATCAAGGCTTATATAAATATACCATTTTAAATATAAGTGTATAATACGAATAATTTTCAAAGGTCTGTCTAGCAATTGACTAAATTATAGTCTGATTTCGTTTGGTAGGCTAAATTTTTATTATAACACTGAAAAGTTCATCTTGCACAAAATCACTAAAGTTTATGTCAAAGTATTCATTGCCTAAAGCCGAGTACTCACTAGCGGGCTGTAACCGTAACCGTTGCATGTTATGTTACTAAAAATCGTAGTGCGTACGTGGTTCGCTAGCTTACCGCGAGGGAAGCGTGCGGCTCGCAGTGAGCCGACGACAACCAGGTGTAGGTATTATACTCATTCTAGCGAGTGAAGACTGTTTCACGCGTACACACTAGAACCTCTTTACTGCATCTGTCACGTTAAAGTTACAGCTCGCACCCGTACTCACCCGGCTTAAAACATTTTACAATTTCAGTGTCTGCATGGTATCTACGTAAGTCGATAGCTTTTTGACCCCACAAATTCACCTTATACTCGTAGATAAAATGGAATATTTTAATACCAAGTGACAGGACGAAAAAGTCGTGCGCCTGGTAGTAAGTGACACGCCTGTCCATAGCAGCTGCAGTGCCATTCAGAGCTTTAAATCGCAAAGATCTGAGGAGCACTGTCACTGCGCCTGTCATCCTGAACCATAAGTTGACAAGTCCCATGTTCCTGTAATTAGTAATGCTCACATTATTGCTTGGCGGCAAAAATAGGTATTTGCCTGGTCGAAATCTTTCACAAGAATAATATACTATAATTCGATGCTTCACAGAGTATTTATTATCAATTACGCACTCCTCATGGAAGAATGGCTTAAGATACGTCAAAAACGTTTATTGCTCCATTAAATACAGAAAAATATAACCCACATCCTCTCCAGTTCTTATAACTTTATCAACTAATATTGTAGATATATTTATACATCTATATATCTACAATATTATTTTTGACGTAGCTCCACTCATGCCATTCTTCCATGAGGGGTACGAATTTGAAAAAAATCGTTTGCACCTATTATTCTTACGGGGTAGTTATAAAAATGTCATCTATAAATAGTTAGATTGATATAATTGTGTCAAAGATTCAATATGGCCAAAGAGAACACAACGCTAGCTTTACTTAATCAAATCCCATTGCAATTGAATCCGTCATAAAATCTCTAGTGCTCATAAAATTGCCGTAAACATTGACAACACAAATAGCAGCTAATAATCCAACGGAGCCAATCAAACTACGGGCGTGTGGCTCACATAAGTTTTATAGGTACCTTTATATGAAGAGCAGAGAGCAACGCGGATGATTGCCACAATAAAACTGTTTGCCGCAGTCGCGGCTTTTAATTAATTTAACCTGTACAGCGGAAATTGTTTGGAAACGTCTGGTGGTATATTTTCCGAGAGACGCCATCTTAGAAATGACGTAGTCGCTTATTTATCAGTATGTATAGAGTTTCACATGAAATTAATGGTATTATGATATGAACCGGGTGTATAAATATATAAAATGTAAACACTACAAGAATTTTTGGAGTTAGTAAAACACCCTCTTCATTTCTCTCCCAGGATAGTAAAGCAAGAAAAGTGGCGAAGGTACGTCATCGTTAGGTTATTGTTTGAACCGTTACCAAAGTGTAGCACTAGATGGCACACCTAGTTCCAGGTCTAGACTTTCAAGAAACAGGACACTTAATTATTTCGTTACTTTTTCGAAGTAAAAGTATTTTTATATTTTAACTCGGTACTACATAGGATTCAAGAGGATTAATAATCGTAAAAATTAAACTTAATGTATCATATCTTTACGTTTACTTTTATTATACAGTCAGCAGTATATTAAGCTTAACGAGCTGTAGAATAAGTCCTTATTTTGTTGCAATAGATTTTTTTTTATGCTCGACGTGATGTTATCATTAATCGACATCGTGCACGTAGTTACTAAAATCATCAAATAGATGGTTTATGCAGGAAAAGTAAAGTACCTACATTGTTTCAGGCTTGCAAGTTTTATTTCGAAATATTTTAGTATCAAATTGGGTTAACCTCTAGAGATGTGCGTCCAGCTTGTGGTCTCGCGGTTGAAACTCGTAGTCGTGGGTGACCGCGCGGCAGGCTGAGGCCGCCGCCCGCCCGCCCCCTTTCGCACTGACAAATCAATATTTCAATTTTCATTAGATTGGTTCATCTCAGTTAATATTCGGTAACTCAGCATTTTATTGTCAGTTCATTACCGCCATGTCGTTGTTAGATTATGATTATATTTTTTTTATAGTAGGCACCAAGGCATCTTTTTACTTCTATGACTGCTTACCATTCACAACGTTTATTGTCTAAGTCATTATTATAAACATGATTTCAATTACTTTTTTGTTGAGTCATTTTGTAGTACCTACCTATTACTACATATGAATAAGTTGGTACAATGCCTAAACCATTTATTACTAAAGCATAAAGAACAGGTGGCTAAGTAAATTCACCTGTCTCCTGCCTTAGGTGCCGGACCTAATCACTCCAGATTTCTGTTTGGACGGGCAAAATTTATTCATACCCTCGCATTTATCACCGCCAGCTTTTCGAGTAGTTTTTCACATGTATGAGAAAATTGCCGAACCCAAATTCTATCACGACGCCACCCGAAGAGGGCGCGAGCCGTTAGAATTTCGTGCACCTTGCCGAAACCTATAAATCAAACTATTGCGTAATATTGCCTCCATGCATACATGGAGATCACCCCGGACCTTCTGTTTTTATTTATTGCACCTTCAAACAGATTTTTACATACAATTTATAAGTTATGCAGCAGTTTATCTTGTTTAGAATTTTTATCGTGATTTAAAACACGCCGCATTAAAATATTAATTTGGCAGATGAATACATTCATCACTTTTGTTTCTTGAATTAAAAAAAAAATATTTTCCCTTATAAAAGGCGTTGAAAAACATGGATAAGTGTGCAAAATTTGTAAGAGTCTACCTAAATCAAAATTTTGTAGATTATACCCCAGCAGATTTTATTACGTTTGGGATTATCATGATAAAATTTTTATCTTACCGAAATTGTAGGAATTAATAAGTATTAGTTCATAATCAAACCAGTAATTATTAGTAGTGATATAAAGTGTTAGGAGTCATGTTATTATGTAGAATAGCTGCGATAAATCTCTATGACTTCGATAAATAGGTTTGGCCGGTGGTTCACGCCGATAACAAACTGGTGGCTACCAGATGTGCGGCGCAACCCTATCTGTACATCGATCGTTTCGAGATCGTCCGCCGTCCACATTCCGGCTCCAAGACATCGGAGATAACTGAAAACATTACGACTAATAATTTATCTACAGCAATTCGTCTGCGCTTGAGCCTTGCCGCCAGGACAGTGCTATAACTATGAGCTATGCCGCCGATTGTGGTGGTTAGATGTCAAGATTACAAGCGACTTCGAAGTAATCTTATAGTAAATACAATCGTATCATCAGAACTTTTTTGTCTTTCACCTTATTTCTCATATTACGGGAATTTCAAGACGAATTGTTTTTCAAACCACTATCTAGTCATTAAGTGTCCATTGAGACGTAGGTACGTGTGAATGTTGCTGCGTGACATCTACAATTTAAAAGTCTTGATAGATTTAAACAAAACAAGGTGTTATTTAATTTGTGGAATTGGCCCTATTTTTATAAACATACACAAGCCCTTGAATGCAGAAGTCGAGCTTCGTTAATCACCTGCAATAAGCTTGAACGGCATTGTTGCCTGATAAACTAACAGATACTTATGAAATTCTATTAACACAATCAATTTACCCTTGCAAATCATTTCATAACTCAGTCATTTAACCAAAGCCAGATTTGCGAAATCGAAGCACCACGTCCTATGAATGGTTGATCTCATTAATATTTCTAAGGGTTCAATTCCACAA